GGTCCTTGGGGCTGGCCCTGGTGGCTGTGGGAGGCACAGGGTGGGTCAGCGCTCACCATCTCTGCTGATGCTGCCTTCTCCCTTGCAGAAACACTGGCCCCCGGGGACGCAGTGCGTCACCAAGCACGACCACACCAAGCCGAAGGCCCGGGAGCTGGCCTTCCGCAAGGGCGACGTGGTCACCATCATTGAGGCCATGGAGGTGAGCCCCAGGGGTGCTTGGGGGATGCGCTGCTCCGGGAGGGCATGGAGGGGGTGGGACCCCAGTGCCACCAGCCGAACCGACCCGCCAGAGACAGGCTCCCCGCTTCATGGCGAGATCCTGCCTTCCTGCCCTTGCTCCGAGACCCTCTCGTCCCCAGGGCAAGGGATGGTACCGTGCCAGACACAACGAGACGGGGCAGGAGGGGGTACCCGCGGCCGCTGTTTTTTCATCCGCGTCGACCCCAAGCTCAGCCTCATGCCGTGAGTACAGCTGGGGGTGCCCGGGGGACCTTGGGAGCTGCGACAGCGGATGAGTCCAGTGCGTTTCTCCCCAGCCAGGTTTTGGGTGGGCAGCTGGGGGTAGCGCAGCTGTTAGCCGTGCCCTGGCGATGGGGGGATTTGCTGGGGTCAGCATCTGGCTTTAAAGACCCCTAGTTGTGCACACCCAGCTTGGACAGACCTCACAGGGAGGGGTTTTATGCAATGGGGTCTACGCAGCTTTGGTGAGGACTCTGCTCTCCCCATCTTGCTGCTGGTGCTGGGGGAAGCCCACCAGCATGACTCCTCTCCCCAATGCCCCTCTCCCCAGCTGGTTCCATGGGAAGATCTCGGGAGTGGAGGCGGTGCAGGAGCTGCAGCCCCCCGAGGACGGGCTCTTCCTGGTGCGCGAGTCCGTCCGGCACCCCGGCGACTACGTGCTGTGCGTGAGCTTCGGCAAAGAGGTGATCCACTACCGGGTGGTGCACGAGGAGAACACGCTCAGCATCGACAGCCAGCAGTACTTCTCCAACCTCATGGACATGATCGAGGTGAGGAGAAGCCCCCCTCCCTGGGCAGCAGACCCTGCCAGCGTTGGACTAAAGGCAAGACCCTCATGGGGTCACACGGAGCAGTGGCAGGTCCCTGTCCCTTTCTTTTGTGGTTTTCATTGGGTTTTGTTACTTGGTGTCATTCTCCATCCCAGCCAAGGGCTCATGGTTGCCATTCAGTTTGGGGTGCAGTGGACAGATCTGGGATGCTCTGGGGATGTCCTCTGCCGTGAACCAGCTGTGCCAGCAGCAGCCTCGGTCCTCTGCCCAGGGCTACATTTCCCCCCATCCTGGCTCATTCGGTGCTTCATGCAGCAGCGGGGCTTAGAGCGTTTTGGAAAATGAAAATTGTGGCTGTCTCTGCCACCCCTGGACCCTGAGAGAGGTCTGAGTCTCGCCGAGGTTTTGAGGCATTTTGCTGCGATTCTCTCCCCTCCGAGCTCCCCTCTCGCCTGCTGACCCCGAGGGGCTCCCGGGCTGCCATGTCAGCTCTCTCCCTTCCCGTGAGCTCTTTCTTCCTCAAGGTGCATCTTCACCCTGTCTTGTAGCTGCTGCCCAGCTCCTCTCGGGGGCAGTTGTGCTCTCGTACATTTTTCCTCATTTAGACACAACTTCTGCTTTCGGGATGGGTCCTTTCCCCTTTCAGCTGCCCAGCCCCGCTCTGTAACTGCGATGGCTTCCGCTCCAGTCACCTCTGCAAACCCCCCTCGGCTGCTGAAGCACCTGCCGGGGCTTTTAACCCCATCAGCTGCCAGCTGGCTCACTGGCAGCATCCCGCATCACCCGTGGTCCATCACGGTGCTGTGCCCGGAGGGGAGCAGGGCTGAGACGTGGGCTGTGAAACACGGCACCAGGGAAACGCAGCGTTTCGTGCTGCCCAAGCTGAAGGGGCTCCAGGCCCCTTAAGGGTGGCAGTGGTGGTGGGGTCCCGTGGAGCATCCCAAAGCCATTTCCCAGCTCCACGCCCTCAGCTTAGGGGTAAGAGGTGCCATTTCCGCATGGCCTCCATCTGTCCATCTCTTGACAGCACTACATGAAGGAGCAGGGAGCCATCTGCACCAAGCTGGTGAAGCCCAAACCGAAAACTGGGATGAAGTCAGCTGAGGAGGAGTTGGCCAAAGGTAGGGGATGGGTTGTGGTCCACGTTTTGGGGACAAGACAGCACAGTCCCACTAGTGGGCCCCTGCTAACCTGCCCTTGTGCCCGTGCCCAGCTGGCTGGTTGCTGAACCTGCAGTACCTCACACTGGGAGACCGCATCGGGCAAGGCGAGTTCGGAGGTAGGTGAGAAGATGGGGTTGGAGGTTCCCCGGCCACAGGCTTCCCCAAACGGCACCTCCTGACATCCCCTGCCCATCCTGTGGCATACAAGGCTCAGCCTGGGACGTGGGAGGGTCTCAGATGCAGGACTGAGCCTGGCCCCCCCCCCATGTCCCCTCCCAGATGTCTTGCAGGGTGAGTATATGGGGCAGAAGGTGGCTGTGAAGAACATCAAGTGTGACGTGACCGCCCAGGCCTTCCTTGCTGAGACTGCTGCCATGACGTGAGTGCCCCGTGGGGGGATACAGCCCAACCCTGCCCCACGACCCGGGCACGAGCAGACACCCCCTTGACCCAGATCCCCTCTGTTTCAGGAAGGTCCGGCACAAAAACCTGGTGTGCTTGCTCGGTGTGATCCTGCACAACGGCCTCTACATCGTCATGGAGTTCATGAGCAAGGTGAGAGCACTGAGCTGGTCCTCAGCCAGCGAGATCTGTCACTGCTCAGATTTGGGACAAAATCCCCCATTTTGGGGCTGAGCTGGACGGGTGCCGGGCACTGCAGCCTCCGTGGGAGGTGGATCTCCAGACAGCCCAGTCTCATTGGTCCTTACGTGTTTCTCTTCCTCTATCAGGGCAACCTGGTGAACTTCTTGCGCACGCGGGGCCGGGCTCTCGTCTCGACCCAGCAGCTCCTCCTGTTCGCTCTGTAAGTCCATCTCCCTCCCTCTGGGCTGGAGACCAGTGCCCTGTGTCCTCCCAGGATAGGGCGGGGACAGCCCTGGGGGACACGCGGTGATACTGACCTCTGCCTTTCTCGGCTGCGGCAGAGACGTGGCCCAGGGCATGGACTACCTGGAGTCCAAGAAGCTGGTGCACAGGGACCTGGCTGCCCGCAACATCCTCATCTCCGAGGAGAATGTGGCCAAAGTGAGCGATTTTGGCTTGGCCCGGGTCAACCCCAAGGGCAAGGATGCCACTTTGCTGCCCGTGAAGTGGACAGCCCCGGAGGCCCTGAAACACAACGTGAGCGATGGTGGGAAGGGAGGGAGGGCCAGGGGGTCCTCCTGAAGCAGCTCATCCCATCGTGTCCCCCCTGCTTGTCCCCTCTCCTGCCGACCCATCCCTGCCCTGCAGTGGCCTCTGACATGTTCAGCCCCGCATCTCCTGAAAT